TAGTAAAAAGACAGCATTGACAGTGTTTGAAAATGTTTACTTGCACAACAGATGTTACTGTCAACTGTGTGAGAAAGCCGCTAACTACACACTTGGTCGAAACTAATGGATGCTCACGTGTCATGTTGTTGGCTGAATGTTCCAGGCTTACATACAAATACACGCGCTGGAAATCGATTGATTTTCAAGTCCTATCTGCGTGGCTGAGATCCATGATCACTTTAACACCTTCCTCGGTTAAAAATAAATTGTTACTTAATAGTTTTTTGCTTGGAATAACACTGGGTCCCTGAATTGGTGGCGTGTACGAGTGGAAGGTCTCCGTTTTAGTTCTACTTCTGTGCTCACACCATCGCGTTGCTCTGGTTTTGGTTCCATTGGCTTAGGCAAAGCAAGTGTATCTAAAAGCATGTGTAAGCAAATCTCTGTAATGTCATTTTGCTGAAACAGTTCGGATTCATGACGATGTTTAATGTGATTCACATGACGTGTAGTCAATCGGTTTTCACATTCCACTTCATCCAGTACCTTTCCTTTTCTTGCTTTGACAAATCCGGGATTCAAGGTTTATTTGTAAGCCTGAAGTTGTACACAAAGACTAGGTCACCGGGATGAAAATATCTCATGCGAGCGCGGTTCTTACGATTGAACTGATCTGTCATTTTCTGGTCACACACATTAGTCTCCTTTGCTGGAAACATGGCAACTAACGGTATGCATAAACGTCGACTAATAATAAGTTCCGAAGTTGATTGCTGGTTTGGATGAACAAGATTTGCTATTGAACGATACATGCGTAAGAAGACATCCAAGTTTGTAGCGTTATATCCTACTCCTTTAAGTTTAAAATGAGCACGGTTGAATGTATCCACAAATCTCTCAGCCTGTCCATTAGACTGGGGATGATAAATGAGCTGCGTATACATTGTACACCCATGGATTGACAAAATCGGTTGAACTCGTCCAATGTGAATTGTGGACCATTATCAGTGACGAGTGTTTCTAGTGAACCAAACAGTACGCAATGAGGACGAAGAACTGTGATCATTGAAGCTGTCGTTGGTTGAGTGACACAAACTATTTCTGACGATTTTGAGTATGAAACAACAATAACCAGAAAACCTTGATTGTTCAGCGGGCCTGCATAAACCACATGAATCCGCATACCGCGGGCAGTTGATTTCGGCCAAGGATGAAAGTCAAGTTTGATGGGGGCTTTTGCTGCTTGTGCACATTTGGAACAACTACGAACAGCACCTTCAATATCCTTATAAATATTGGGCCATAAGCATAAAAGCGGGCGAGTGATTTCATTCATGTAATTCCCTGGTTTCCGGCGTGAATCATTTAATTCACTTTTGCTCTAAAATTTTTGGGACCACAGTGCGATATGCCAGCATTAAACAGTCCTTCACCATTGTTAAGGCATCTTTGTACACAAAATATGCTTTAATTTCTACGTTTGATAGAATTCTTAGCCAACCGTTATGAAGATAAAAGGTGACTCGTTGTAAACAGCCATCTGCTCGCGTAGACTCACATAGGTCATTGTGGGTAACTGATACGTTTAGTATGGACTCCTCAAAGATGAATTTAATGTCGGAATTAACTTCAACTGATGAAATAACGGCGTCTTCAGGGGGTTGCGAGTTTGCTCTGCTAGCAATCAGGCGCGATAAGGCGTCAACATGGCCAAAGCATTCCGAACGGATGTGTTTAATGTTAAAGTAGTACCCGAGAAGTATTGTTGCCAAAATTTGCAAGCGATTTGTAGTGTGAGCAGGAATTCTTTTCTTGGTACCAACTATAGACAACAGGGACATGTGATCAGTGCATAAAGTGAATTTCCGACTACGCAGTATCTTATGAAACCTTTTGACTGCAAATACCATTGCTAAACCTTCATTTTCAATTTGGCTGTAATTTCGTTCAGTTGTAGTTAGCGTGCGTGAAACATGACTGACCCATTTTTGCCTGCCATCGGGAAACTGGTGCAATGGGTTTCTCCAATCCCGTACTCTGATGCGTAGGCAGCAAATATGATTGTTAGTTTTGAGTCATAAGGTGTAAGTGCAAGAGTAGAAGTTAAAATGCGTTTTATTTCATCAAATGCCGACTGAAATGCTTGCGGCCATATCCATTTTGCATTAGTTTTCAGGAGTTCATTTATTGGCATCTGTAGAGGGTGCATATTAAGGACAAAGGTATTGTAAAGGTAAACTAGTCCTAAAAAGGACTGAGGTATTTACCTGTACTTTGGAGCTTGTAATTGTTGGATTACCATAATTTTTATTGGATCAGGACGAAATCCACTGGCATCAATGCTTGAATCAAGATACGAAATTCGAGACATGAAGAACACACCTTTGTGGATTCGCAACGTAAATCCAAAACTTTTGATCCTGTCAAACACTTCATTTAGGTGTGTCTAATGTAGTTCAACGGAAGCGCTTCCGAGTATTATGTCATCCAAGTGAGCCATAGTAAAAAGCAACCCCTTTAGCGTTGCGTCCATTACGTGTTGAAAAGTTGCCGGAGTACACTTACTTCCAAACGGCAAGCTGTTGCATTGATATAGAGCTTTATGAGTATTAACGGTGAGAAACTGTCTTGAATCCTCATCAACTTCGACTTGTAAATAGGCATCAGAAATGTCGATTTTTGAAAAGATTGTACCAACTTTAACTGCGCAAAAAAATCATCCAGAATTGGCGATGGGTATTAGTGAGTCTGAAGTGCAACATTTAATCTAATTGCAACATTGCCACAAATGCGTACTTTACCACTGGTCTTCTTAACTACCACAATGGGAGTAGCCCATGTTGAATACTTAAATTTGGTTTGCACGCCCAGTTGCTCCAACCGATTCAGTACCGCATCAACCAATAGAACGGCTGAGTAGGGTACTGGCCCTTTAGGATGGACTACTGGCTTTGCTTCAGGTGCGACATAAAAAGCAGCTCGAACTTTGGTGCACAATCCAAGTTCTGCAAGTTTGCCAAAATGTCATTTTTCACTTTTCTATCCACAGTTACGACATTATTCGAAGGCTTATTTCACATGCTCTGAGTCATGGCATCACAAATCGAGCTGGTTAGAACATCCCATAATGGTAACGCATCTATATACTCAATGCCTAATAACTTTATTTCATTTTCTGCTGCAATGTAACATGTTCAACTGCATTTATTCTTTCGAAATGTGAACTCACAGTTTAGCTGTCACACAAAGGCCAGTGGCTTGCCAGAAGCGTTCCGAGCAACATTTCGGTTTTCCCATGCTTTTCCAAGTTGAATAGGAAATGATTGTTATGTCGGAAGCAGTGTCAATTTGTAAGCTAACTTGTAAATTGTTAATTAATAATGTGCTAAACTTTTGGCCTTGCCTTCCACGAGAACTGCATGTGGTGGACACTAGATGTGACTGCCTTCTGAATAGGGTTGATTGGTACTGCGTGAACACTCGGACACGCCATCGCTCCCTGGGACCTAATGTGCCACAGTCTTGACGTTTATAGAATCGAAATTCACAAATGCGTGCAAGGCGCCAGGCGGCACAATTCCAGCGTGGTGTAGGTGGTCGTTGAAACCAGCTTCGTTGCTCTGGAAATCTGTTCTGTTCCACGTTTGATTTGGCAATTTTATCAACGGAAGTCATGTCTGAATAAGAGTTGTTTGACTGTAACATTTGTGAAGCACGCTTTAGATTCATCCCTCTGAGATATTTCGTGTTCAAATCGTGCAACGCGGTGTCACAGCTAGTGTCCAGTTTTGATCGTAATTTTATTCTGTTATCGGAATCTGCAGGTGATGTTAAGCTCGATAGAAAAAGCAATGCTTTCATCTTGGAGGCTTTCGCATTCCATGTTCACTCTACCTACATATATGAAAACGGCTTCGTCTTCTGCTCTGGTAAGCTATAAACAATTATAACGAACATTAAATATAGATGTTTGCCGTCCAAAAATTATGGTAAGCTTATCCACGGTTTCTTGCAAACTATAATCTCTTAGGTATTTTGGCAGCATGTACCTGCAGTAGCTCGATTATTCAGCACATCCGGTATTGCATCAACAGCCGTAATTTCGCTGATTCATCAACCGCTGAATCGTCGACAGTAAAATTGCGGGCAACACCCAATTTCTCTTTTTCTTCATATCCTTTGTACCAAGCCAAAAATTTGTTGCCACTATCTGGGTCGTAGCTGAATAATTGAATTCCATTGGCCAATAGAACTTTGAGCTGAGTAGCACTTCTGCCCTCTGGAACACCTGATTTGTGGGTTGTAAAATTTCATGTGAGAACTTCAAATAATTTCTGCTGTTGATTCACTTAACGTCGCTGATTTTGTAGCATTTGCATGATAACATTTTGATTAACCATCTCCGTCGCCAGACTGGTACAACCCCGCATAGTATTAAAACGACCGAATTCACACTGTTTGAAAACGTCTCCTTGCACAACAGGTGTTCCAACCAAATGTGTGAGAGAGTCGTTAACTACATACTTTGTCGAAACCAATCGATGCTCACGTGTCATGTGGTTGGCTGAAAGTTTCAAGCTTACATACAAATACACGCGCTGGAAATCGATCGATTTTCATGTGCTGTCTGTGTGGCTGCCATCCGTGATCCCTCCGCTTGACTTGTAACATATTGTCGCATAAACACATAATAGACGAGTTGATTTCCTCAAGGAATATCACAAGCTATAAAATGTTCAAATCAAGTGACAACTGTTCACCAGTCTCAGCAAAGCATGGCATATTTGCCCAACTGGATTTGGTAGGCTTTGAGCAACCAGATTTGTGAATAGCCTACATTTAGCTAAAGTTGATGGAATAACTTGTCAATGATCTTAGGAAGGTAAGCCTCCGCGAATTTCCAAATATATCCAGTTAAACTTGATCAAACGCATCGGCCATTGCTTAAGAGCGCGTACGATTATGGCTGACAAAACAAAGCAATTCGTGAAGGCAAGTCACCACAAGACAAGCAGGATGCACCCGTGTGGGGGATTTTTCACCAATTTACACTAACACTACGGATGTATTGTGACATGTAATCAGTGAGAAAATAATGCGAATTGACGAGGAAAACAGAGTTCATTTTCAACCAGGCAAATGGTCCCTCAGTTGATGCCTCAGTACGTTTGGGTCGACTAGCAGTTATGACAAGTAGGGCAAGCTGAGGTTGCGGTACGAAGAGGTATAGGTGAAAAACCCCATAAGTTACCACTGGATAGAACTGTATGCAGGGGTGAGAGGGGTCCTTTAGAATCTTGAATGAGGAGTTAAAGCGTGCGTCAGAATGCTTGCTGACCCCAAAAGCATCGAGGGATTCTCTATTTAATCCATAGCATAGCAAAATAAACAACAGGATTATCCTTCTGAAAATGTCCAAGAAAAATAACTGGGGAACAGTACAACCGATGGGAAGAATACATACATTTACAAAGGTTATGGGGCAATGGAATAATGGTATATTATGGACAAAAAAGTGGATGCTTATCAAGTCCCGTAGGATGGTCAAAAAGAGAAACACAAGTTGGTGAATAGAAAACAACGGGATAAAATGAAATTCGTTTTGGTAGATTCACCACATTGTTACCACAGAGGCACGCAGAAAGTGTCAAGCGCAGGTGTTTAGGTTAATTCTGGTTGTGCAATCTTCGTCGCATTATCTCGTCTGTCGAGACACACAGGCCATTTCTCTTAATGTAGATGGGTTAGGGCAACGTCAAGGCATATTTTAAACACAGCTAAAGTGGGAGCGGAAGCAATGTTATTTGGGATGGGGTTCCAAGGCTGACATACACGAAAAGAGTAAAAGTTCCGACGACATTCTAGCCAACTGTGTTGCGTGACTAAATTGAACTGGTGGCCCATCCAATTCGTGTTGTGGCTCAGTTATAGTAGGTGACGGCAGACGTGGTTGGGGTTCCTTGGAATCGGGTAGGCCATAATAAAGTCGTCATGTATAAATAGAACACGCTGTACGGAGAGCATTTTGGTCCTGAGAGAGTAACGGGATTGCTTTCTGATTTTCTGAAAAAATCCAAGAATAAACATGGGTCTGGACAAATTTCAAAAAATTACCGAGATACTTTACGGAATCAGAACGATGCATGTTATGGTCACTCACGACTGCAGGAGAAGAGGTGCTCCAAAAGAACGCAGTATGTCGAGGCGGAGAGAAACGAATGTGACATTGCAACACTTGGAAGAGTTAAAGGAGAAGAACCGGGAGTGTAAGCAATTCACGTGTTCCTCTAATCCTCTTTGGAGTCATAAAGAAACCTCAAATAATGGGGTTATATGCACTAGGGGGATGTCATCAAGGTATTTGCATTCGACGAAAGTGGCTGGTATCAGTAGACATACAACATAGCGGAAAACAATGAGAGCTGAAATGGCTCCTTGCAAGCCCACATATGGGTGCGATTGCGCTGGCTCTTCTTCTGCGTAGCTACGTGGATTAGGTATGATTTGTAAAGTAGTCATGCAAAACATTGCACGTATGTAAAGGAACACAGTTTCCGAACTAAAGATTCAGTAATAACGATCTGTCAATACTCCCAAAGGCATTAATATAATCAAGGTAGAAGGACCGACTAATTTCGCAAATTTTATCAATAGCAGATGTCATGGAATGCATATGACACGAAACGTCATCTTGAGTAGAGACCTTTGGCTTGTATGTAAAGTGTTATCATTCTTAAGATCAATTGTAAAATCTCGAGGAATTTGTGGTTTTTCAATCCCAGACAACCTGGATGTGCACGCCATCGGCCGATACTTATGTGATCCCTTTTTAGCTGTTGTTCTGGTTACTTTCGGATGTCGGAGATGGTGCTAGTCGTTAAACATCGGTTAAAATCTCTGTCAGTGGTGATTATAATGCATCCGCACACTCTTTCAGTGTGATTGGGACAGGGAACTAGGACGACTAGCCTTGTTTGGCCGAAGACGTGTGAGTTCCCGGCAAACGTTGATGCAGTCAAATATGGAGCGGGTTCCTTGATGGTGAAAGAAGGTAGAGGGAGTGTAATCGATGATAAATAGTTAAACTCTGCTTTGAGTTTTTCCACATCCACAATGCAAACTGTGGGCAAGGGGAATTTCTACCAGTGAGCTGCATCATGTGCCCCACAGATCAAGGCAACTGTGGTTTCATAAAACAGCTTCAATTTTTGGCTGCTTAACCATCTGAGCTCGGCTACTATAGCCAAAGACTGACATTTGACACTGGCCGTTAGATTGTATTTGTAAGCCTGTTCTTTTTTCCTAGGAAGTTGCTCTAGTAATGAAGATGAAAAACTACCAATAGGAAGATAAAGAGTCTTAACGGGGCGACAAAGATTGAAACAGAAATTAATCTTGTGTGTGAAGTGCTCGCATTGTGATGACGGTCCCTTATTGATGAAAGTTGACTTGTTTGAACCGAGCGTCGAGTTGAGTATTCCTTCGATCAGTTTGGTCGATTAAATGTTCTGGGTTGACTTTTGTCATCTCAATATCGATGGCTTGGCAGTAAGTCATTGGACAGAACTTCATGATGAAGCGGTCCAAATTGTCGAGTGGTGCGCGTCTTTGTGTGAAAAACAGGTTATGTTTTTCAGTACGAATTATATCCGAATATGTGTCCAGCCTGGTGGGGAATGCCATCATGTTGGTTAGACCTAGCATTGCAATGGAAACTGTAAGCGGTAAAGTTATCTGCAATTCGCAAGGTGAATGACGCGAGCTAACTTTGGATGCCCACCAACTAGTTGTTTAGCCACCCTATGCCCCATGGTTGCTTGCCTTCCCGACCTAAGGATTATCTAATCCACAAGCTGAATAACATGAGCGAAGTCTTAACTCCCATCATCTATTCGCTCACCCAGTTCATGTGCCATCGTTACACGCCAACTGACATAACTATTAGGTAAGTAGCAACCCCCATGTCGGGAGCTCAGTCTGGATGATCAAGGCAGACGCCTGCCCCAATTGATGAGCGCCGGCTTACCGATTATCCTCCATGTGAACTCATATCTAGGTTGACATGACTTTACTTCACCTTTCACTTTGGGGACCGTTTGCTCACAATGTGCAACCCGTACAGACCATCACATCCAAACCGAGCTCGGACTTGAAACGTCTTTCCGCTCCAGCGGTACGCACTTACATTATCCACCCCACTCCCAACATTTGCTCGAACCAAGCCAACCCTAAAGCCCAGACCATCGCGTTCCGTTTCGCACACTGTATAACGAACCAATGAGTCAAGAGTTAACAGACCTAATAAAAGCAGGGTCAAAGTCCGCTATCATGTGGCTCTTTAATGTAGGGTGACAAGTATAATTTGTATTCCTTTGGAGATTGTGAAGGCCAGTTTTTTCGGAACTGATCGAGCATTTTCGAAGTATGTACCCATGGTATGTTAATTACTATTTGAACAGTAACGTAGTTAAGGACTCGGTTTCCTTTCTTAGTTGAACCCGGGAGGTTTTACGGGTAAATCGAGCGGCACAATGGAACAATGGTATAATGCGGATAAAAAAGCCAAGGCTTGACAAGTCCCGTGGGATGGTTTGAGCGAATGACGACAGTTAAGTGACGATACCCAAAAGTGCAAAACGCATCTGTGGATTCACATATTATCCAGGTTAACACGTGGGTATATCCCTCTAACCCGCTTTCGAGAGGTTGGTGAGCACAATGTTTGTCTGCGTCTTGTCCTCCCTCAAGGAACAGAAATCAGATCAAGTAATGTGAGTGATGCAAAGCATCATCGTGTCGGTCTTTAAAATGAGGAGCATAGGCGCTGAAATAACAAAACCCGAAACAGCGTTCCACGGTTG